GTCCGCCTTTAGCGTATCCACGACATCCACGACCTGCTGGCACTGGTCCAGCTTGTCCTGCAACTCCTTCTCCCACGTCTCGATCTGCTTCCTCTGCTTCCGTCGTGGGATGCCCTTGTCCATCTCTTGCACCTCCACAGTCCAGATGTCGATCTCATCTGTCGTAACTGATGGTACTGTTTTGGCTGTCCCTCTCTTCGGCCAGTCCTTGAGTGAGATCGTACTTGTTGATTGCCTTGAAGTCCGCCTTACGCTCCTTCACGTACAGCACTATGTCTAGCTCCTCCAACTGGTGGATGCTTAGCAGTATCGGCGTCTTCGATTTCGGCAGCCTCTGGAATCGTAGATTCACGTCGGCTCCTGCAAATCCAGCTGTCACCTCCTGCTCGCCTTCTGCCATGACCGGGGCGCTATCGTTCACGCCTCGGAAGCGCATGGATGATCCCCTCATCCTTGTAGTGACCCTGCTGTCCTCTGCGTAGCCGTCCAAAGCTAGTGAACCTCCACATTCTTGTAGGCACGCCGTGTCCAGTACAGCATGTCCATCTGGAAAAGGTCCTTTGCTCACCGCGTGGGCCTCGGTCTCCTCCAGCTCCTCGTAGTTCACCTGCAGCCCAGATGATGGTGCACGATCCTCTGTAGGCCTGTAGTCCGTGCCTGTCCTGCGTTCCGTCCACAGCCATGTCGGTCGCACTACATGAGGTAGGCGCTCGCAGGTGCTTCTTACGATGTCTCGTAGCTCCGAGGTACTGTCCCAGGATGCTTGGCACAGATCGTACGCCAAGTTCCTGAGCCCTTGTGGTGCCATCTCCATCGTGATGTGCATGAGCTGGTGGATCCGGTGTAGTGCCCAGTCCACGCACCAATCCATGTAATCCTTGTAGACTGCTTCCATGTTCTCGCAGCTGACCCACAGTGTCGCGATCTGTGCTGCTCGATCTTTGATCTTCTGTAGGTCTGCCGCTGTGTTATCTTCCTCATGGTATTCGGTGCTCCATCTGCTGGGCCATGTCTGTCCTGATCCAGAGGGACACGCGGATGAGGGGGGCTGTTCCCCTCATCCGCGGCCCCAAGTTTGGCCCCTGCTAAGCGAGATGAGGGTGAGGCGACCCAGGAAGTAGGGCCGCCGGAGCCCGTGATGGCTAAGTCGGCGGAGGAGAATGCGAGTTACAGTAAGTTCCGAACTGCCCGCCCCCACATGAGATACTTGTGTGTCCTCCTGTCTCGCTGTCCTGATCTGTGCGTCTGTCCGTCACTGCCTTCAGGTTCCTGTGCTTGGTGTCCATCGGGTACGCTGTGGGTCCGCTTCGCTTCTCCAGGCCACTCTCGTGTGCCTTGATCGTCTCCGAGTGCCGATGCCGTCCGGGTGTTCACGATCTGCTCGTCGGTGTCGATCCTCACCTTCGTCAGACTCGTGATCTCTTCCATCGTGGTATCCATCCATGTTCGCCAGCTGGTCATTTACGATCTGAATGGCAGTCATGTTCATTGAGCTGTCCGCCATCAGTAACTTCACCGCCGTTGCCATTGCAAACCCAGCCCGTCGTAGAAAACCTCCAGGTCGTCCGTGAAAGCTTCGGCCGCCACCTCGTCGTCCACGCTGTAGGCTGCTTGATGATCCGCCGCCTGATGGCCTTGTCTTCTCGCACTCTGGGTCGCCTTTCCAGTGACCCTTCTTGTGACATGCGTTGCACTTCGTGCGAGCCTTGATCTTCTTGAGCTTTTCTTCAGCTTCCTTGCCGTCCATCTTGATGGATCCCTGCTTGTTGAGGTTTGCCTTCCAGCCTCGATTGGACTTGCTCTGTGCAAGCCTCTCCCGGGCTTGCTTGTAGTTATTAGGCTTGTGACCTTTTCGTCCAGCCTTCCACCCGAGACGCTGTGCCTCTGCCGCTAGAGTGTCGCACTCCTCCTGGCTGACCTCCGCAGGGCCGACGTCGTCTATCACCCCCTCGAACTCGTCGATGTCGGCTGCCAGCGCGTCGTAAATCGCTCAGAAGCCCGTTCTTGTCGCACACGCCACATTCGTATCCGAGTAGGGCTTCCTCCTCATCATCGTCGTAGTCCACCGGGTATGCTCCATGAAGTCCGTGACCACGTTCGTATCTACACGTCGTGTCCAGCTGGATGAGCATCGCCGCCGTCACGTCGTCCCAGATGTACTTGTTATTGAATTGTCCGAGAATCGCTTTATGCTCGGTCATGCTGATATTGGCCAACTTCAGTAGGAAGTATGTCCTGAGGTCTTCGCTCACCGTCGTGTTTGCTGAGAGAGACTTGAGCCGCTCGTACTCCGTCTCCCGCCTTGATATGGAGTCCTGCCTTGACTCCGATCTGCTGCGAAAACCTTTGAAGAAATACTCCTCGAATGCTTGCTGCTTTTGTAGTGGTGCCATCCATTCGCATGCTTGTCGTACCGTGGCCACTACCAACTTCACTGCAGCAAGTGGGTCATCAACTGCTTTGTCTAACACTGCTTGTGTCGCAATCTCGGCCCTCTTCCTCGTGAGGTTCCACGCTCGTAGCTGCGTAGAGCTTCTGTAGCTTCTCTTCGCTGGCATAGTAGCCGAGGATCGCGCGCTCCTCGAACTCCTCGCCGTAGGCTGGGTCCCCATTGTAGTGTACAACGCCTTCCTTGTCCACGAAGAGGGGTCCGTCGTTGGGCTGCTGCTGCCTGGTCGCCATCTTGTCTGTAGTGATGGTGTCGCCGTCCAGCTCGTTGCCGTCCAGCTCGTAGTAGATGTTGTAGTCACTGCTGCTGTCCGGGTTGCGGCAACGATTCTCGGCCAGGCTGCAAGTGATGATGCGGAGCGCAGTGGTAAAGCACTACGAGAGTCTTGAGCGCCAGCATATATGTCTGCACGGCCACTCTATATGAATCTCGCAACCGTCGAACTGGTACAGCTCCAGGCTACCAGTGGACATACAGATCACAATATCTCTCCCGCCAAGCACTTGATGCAAGCACAAGGTAGAAGAAACAATACCTATATATGTGTATATATGTGTATATATATGTATATATCCGTGCTCGAACCAACACGTGAGTAGGTGCGTCCACCCTCCCGCCCAGGTTGAGAACCACAACGGTTGCGGGCGAGAGGTACACTGCACAAAGCACGAGCGAGCGAGAGCAGCAATAGCAATGATAATTATCATTACCGCCCTAGATCTCACATCCTTGCCCACCTGATGTTCACAATACGTATGGGGCACAGCGCGTTTCAAATTTTGCATCACGTATATAGTATCAGATCTCTCTTTCCCTCTCTCTCTCTCTCTCTTTGTTTCTCCCTTTACATATGTACGTCTGTCTGTCTGCCCGACTGTCTGTCTTTCTATCTGTCAGTCTGTCTGTCTGTCTATCGGCCTATGTGTGTGTCTGTATGCGTGTGTATGTCTACATCCGCATAGTACACCCCTTTCCTTGCGCCGCTTATGTGACACCGCAATCAGGCTGCACAACATCCATCTCGCATCGAGAGTCAGAGCCCGCGAATTGTTTGTGACCCACTTTGGCTACCTGGCCCACTCTGGTTACCATTTGCTGAGGCAGCGTCGGGGATCAGCCGATGGGAAGCGTGGCTGTGGGAGCCCATCAGTCTAGGTCTCAGGGAGGAAATTGGGAGCACCCAGCTTTGTCGTTTTTGGGAGCTCAGCGATGGCCTCCAGGAGCTATTAGATGGCTGATCCTTTTCTCATTGTTTTCAGTCCTTCCTGCGTGTTGGATCCCCGTTTTGAATTCGCAGCGCCGCGCGTCTCCTTCTCCACCTCCTCTCCTCTTCTTCCTCACTGCTCCCTCCACTGCCTCATCCTCCTGTTCCTTCTTCCCATCGCATCCCAACCCTCCTGTCTGTTGGGAGGGCCCCATCGGGAGATCCGCCGAAGGCTCCAGTGGCAGACGCCCAATGTCGGAGAACCCCTCACACGTTTCGGGGCCCCATAGGGAGCTCTGCCGAAGGCCCCAGTGGCAGCGTCCGCTTGGTTACCCGCCCCATTTCGGCGCACTCGTCACACGTTTCGGGGCCCCACAGGGAGCTCCAGCGAAGGTCACAGTGGCAGCGTCCATATGCTCACCCTCCCAATTTCGGCGCACTGATCTCATGTTTCGTGGCCCCATAGAGAGCTCCTCCGAAGGCCCCAGTGGCAGCGTCCGCACGGCTACCCGCCCCATTTCGGCGCACCCCTCACATATCTCGTGGCCCCATACGGAGCTCCGCCGAAGGCCTCGGTGGCAACGTCCGCACGGTTACCCGCCCCTCTTCAGCTCACCCCTCACACGTATCGTGGCCCCACGGGGAGCTCCAGCGAAGGTCCCAGTAGCAGCGTCCGCCTGCTTACCCGCACGATTTCGGAGCATCCCTCGCAGCCGAAGGCCCCAGTGGCTGCGCCCGCATGGTTACCCGCCCCATTGCGGCGCACCCGTCACACGCTTCGTGGCACCATACGGAGTTCCACCGAAGGCCCAGTGGCGGGCTCCGCATGGTTGCCCGCACCAGTTCGACAAATCGATCAGGAGTATTGCGGACCCCTCAGTGTGCTCATGGGCTTTGAGAGCGTTCTTGCGAATATCCGCCACGCGTTCACACTGGGTCGGGTCAGTCGCCAGGGCATGCCTTTCCTCTTTCGGTCACAGGCGTGCCCCTCTGGCGGCCCTTTTTTGCTTCAGTTCCGCTGCGTCCGGGCTAACGCCACTGGCCCCACCCCGGACGCACGAGCAGCCCGGGCGGGCAGCACCGGGAACGCACGCTGGCCAGGGGCGGCCGCCGGCAGTCCCGGGGCAGGCAGGGCCTGCCCCCAGTCGGCCTCGTCCACCTCGGGGGCAGAGCGTGGACTCTTCGGCCGTGGGGCAGCTTCCCAGTCCCAGTGCGAAGACGACCTGCTGACCGAAGGAATCCGGTGGCCCTTGTCAGCGCCCGCCACCTCGTGGTCAGGGCACGGCTCAGCGCTGGTTGTCGAGTGAGGGAGGCGGGCAGAGGGATCCGTGCGAGAGCGCCCGAGAGGTTGCCGACCCTCTCGGAACTCCGAGCAATCGATGCTGGAGGGCCTTTGGGGGGGAGCGCAACATGCCGTCGAAGTGTAGAGGCGCACGTACTATCCAGCATAAACTCCTTGTTCAGCGTAGCATCGCAGCATGTCCTAGCCTGTAAGTCTTCAGATTTCTGTGCAGGGTTCACTTGGATTCATCTGATGGTATCCAGTGTCGGTCTATGAATCCTAGAACCGTGTTTCATCTAAGCTCGTCTGGGGGTCCTTTTGTGCTCATTCAGTGCTTGTTTGGTGGTCGTGGCTATATTGTTGCCCTCTGCCCTATCCCTTTAGAACTCTCCTCTGCTAGTGCTGTAGGTGGCTCGTTGCCAGCACAGAGCTCGTCAAGGTCCATACGTGGGCAATTGTGATGGTCTGTTGGTCGGTCCAGTGCTTCCCGAGAGCAAGCTTCTAGAATATGTCTTACAGCTGTTCGCGGGGAACACATTCATTCTCCCCTTAATGCACTTGCGACCCATATGTGATATTCGTTTGGTCTAGCTTCAAAGTGATACTCCTCCAGAGCTCGCGCAGCTTTCGTAAGGTGTTGCTTCACACCTCTTGTGGCGTTCTCCTCTTAGTGTCCGCCAGGCATCTGTCTTGTGCCGACGCCACCTGGAGCTCCAGGACCAGTCTCACCATTGGGATTTGCGTTGTGCGTGTACTGGTGTCGCGAGCTGCCTGCGCAGGAATGTAGTCGCTGCTAGCTCGGGGTCCTCCGTCGACCTGTGACATCGGCGAGACGGGCTTGTTCGCTGCGAGTGGCAGCGTTACTAGTCTGCTAGGGGTCCCGTCGTCCCTCCCCAGTGTGGATTCGTCGGCAGAGCGACCGCGTCCGTGGAGTCGGCATGTCTGTCGCGACAGGTGCGGCACGGAGCTGCTGGTGGCAAGTCCTCCGTGCCTTCTGTGGCGTCTGTGACGGCTCCAGCCTGGTGATCCTTCTGTATCGGCCTGCAAATTGGAGTTTTCCCATGACTCCTCAAGCACTACCATATGTTATGACTCTATACACTTAAATACATCCAAGGCGAGCCAGCGTGGATCCTGAGCATTCTTTCATACACCCTGGAGGCGAAATCCATGCGGTGCCGGTGTGTCGTGTAAGTTGCGCGGCGTGAGCCGTGCGGTGCGAGGTGCTGGTCTGTTGTGCAGGCCATGCGGTGGAAGCCATGCGGTGTGAGCTGCCCGGGGGACGGGGCGCCCACGAGGCAGCACGGGCGCGAGCCTGGCGAGCTCACACCGCGACGGGGCCCCCGTGACGGGGCCCCCGTGACGGGGCGCGAGCGTGGCGAGGTGCCCCCGTGACGGGGCGCCCACGAGGCAGCACGGGCGCGAGCGTGGCGAAGCCTCGGCGGGCCCACCAGCCGCACGGGGCGTCCACGGGGCGCCCACGAGGCGGGCACGGGTGCGGACGTGGCGAGACCTCGGCGGGCACGCCCAGGGCCCGGGGGCGCCCACGGGGCGCCCACGAGCGGGCAGGGGCCGTGGACGTGGCAGAGCAGCGGTGGATCCGCCCGGGGCGCGCCCACGAGGCCGCGAGGGCGCGAGCGCGGGACCTCGGCAGACCCATGCAGTCACTTCGGCAAGGGAATCACGAGCCCGTGGGTGCGAGCACTGCTGGTAAAGTGTGGATCGCCAGGGAGGCCTCGGGGCACCCCGGATGGATCCTGAGACATGCGGCGCCGCGTCTCCAGGTGGGGGCGCTTGGCTTGACCTCCAACCGAGTGCTGCGAGGCCGCACGCGAACTCTGCAAGCGCAGGGACAGACGAAAGAGAGGTGCAGGTAGCGAGATGGAACGAGAGAAACAGAGAGAGAGAGAGAGAGAGAGGGCGAGAGAGAGAGAGAGAGAGTGCTAGAGAGAGAGAGAGAGAGACAGAGAGAGAGAGAGAGAGAGAGACGTGTGCCCTTTGGAAGACATCATGCCAGGGCCCGCTGAGACTGGGTGGGGCAGGCACTGCGAGCTCTGTTGTGATGTGCGCCCTTACACGCAGGCTGGACTCGTGGTTCCTGAGAAACTTCACTCGGCCGTGCCAGGCAAGCGGTGCTGCGGGCAGGCAGGGTGCTCGGCGAACATGATGAAGAGTGGGCGGGAATTCCAGCACAGTCACCGCGTGTTTCCGATTCTGCTCACAGCTAATCGTCGTTACAGGAAGACCAACGATTGTGCTGCGAGACAAGGGGGGTGCAGGTGGCACGCGGAGAACAGCATGGACGGATGGACGGATAGGCAGACATATGGATAGATCTTTGCGTGCATACATACAAGTACACGGGTGCACCCTCCATGGATGGAAGGGAGGGCGTGCGGGTCGGTTGGCTGTGTGTGTGTGTGTGTGTGTGTGTGCGTGCGAAGAGGCGGGCGGGCGGTCGTACGGATGGACGGGTGGTTGGCTTGTTCGACGAGTCAGCGGAGGCTCAGTAGCTGGTTGACCCCTATCGCAGGCGATTTCCCCCCCCAACCCCCGGCTTTTCGTCGACAAATGAAACCGCTCAGAAAAGGCGGAATACCTTGGAATACACCCCCAGGAGGCCAGTCGGACGCACCTCTATCGAGAATGGACGCCCCCTCCCCGTCGTGGTCCAGTCGGACACCTCCCAAAGCCTGGGATAGGGGTCGACATATCCCCTGTTACTCCATTCCGTGTCCTCATTGTTGCGTGTCGGCCGCGCGCGACGATGAGGAGAGGAGGTTGGCCAGAAGGATGGACGGGTGAATGGCTTGCTCGACGAGTCAGCGGAGGCCCAGTAGCTGGTTAACCTCCACTCTCTGGCCTCATCGCTGCGCGTAGGCCGCGCGCGACGACGAGGCCGAAATGGTGCGGGGGGCCTTGGCGCTCGAGCCGATGCGGTCTCAGAAGAGGAGGGGGGGGATGATGATGATGATGATGATGATGATGATGATGATGATGATGATGATGATGATGATGATGATGATGATGATGATGGTGATGGTGATGGTGATGGTGATGGTGAGGATGAGGATGAGGATGAGGATGAGGATGACGATGATGATGGTGATGATGATGATGATGATGATGATGATGATGATGATGATGGTGCTGGTGGTGATATTAATGATGACGGTGGTGATGATGCTGATGGTGGTGAAGATGATGCTGATGGTGATGAGGATGCTGATGGTGATGAGGATTATGATTCTGGTCATGATGATACTGATGATGGTGATGCTGCTGATGATGATGATGATGGTGGTGGTGGTGGTGATGATGATAATGAGGATGAGGAGGAGGAGCAGGAGGAGGAGGAGGAGGTGTTGCATGAGGAGGAAATTGATTTAGTCATCACCCCTGCGTTGCCGCCACATCGCTGTCCCGCCGCCGCCGGACATCGATGACTACCGAAGCTGCTTCGGCTTCGGTCGCGTGAGAAGGACCGCCTCACCCGCCGCGCGCGCGCCCCGGCTGGCCAGGCCGTCTCTTCTTATTGTGGCCCCAGCTAACTTTAAGCAATGGCGGGAATAAGTACATCTCCAAAAAGTCGTGTGAACCTGAGCATTACATTATGTCATACATAAGTTTATGATCAAAAACACGATCACGCTTTGCCGCTTAATCGGGTTGCGAAAGCTCCCCTCCTGACGGAGAGCTGGCAAAACATTGGTTAGCAGCCGATTTTTCCTTCACCGATTAAATCGACGTCACTAGAGGGGGGAACTATGTTTTCCCCCTCGGTGGGCTATGTGCGAATGATAGAAGACCAGCACCGCGGCTTAAGTCCCGGGGCAGCTTCCTCCGACTATGTCGGGGAACCGGGCCGACGCCCTCATCCGATGATCAGCTGGAACATTTGCAACGACGATGAGCACCGCCCAGACACCCCGAGGACCAATGACGACAAGGGGCCCGAGTGGCACGAGCGCGGCGAGCAGATGCCATTACCGTTTGCCGGCCAACCTAACGTCGCCATCTACCTTCTCGGACGGCGAGCAGGACTTGGAGTCTATCTCATCGGAGAAACACTTCTCCCGCATGTCGACGCCCAGACCGGACGCTTACGGGGGCGCCGACCAGCCGCGGGGAGTGGAAGCTGAGGCCTTTGGCGCCAGTTCTCCTGTTCCCTTGGTCGACGATCCATCCGCCGCGCTCGCGCCCATCGCCGACTGCGAGGAGGCTGCGCCCCCCTCCGATGACGCGGATGAACGGGATCTCGAGGAAATCATGGAGCGTCAGCCCGCGGACAGCCCGGCCAGAGCCGCCGCCGAGCAGAGGCGCGAGACGGCCAGTCTTTCAATGACGTCACCGCTCATCAAGCGGAGGAGGTCTGCCGGCATTCCCGAGAACAGGCCTGTGCGCGGTCCGGGGGGGGGGGGGGCCCGGTAGCTATGCGCGCGGGCTTCCTCCGCCTCCTATCCAGCCCGACTCGGCCTTCCATCTGGGTGGGCTGCCGCCTGCGCGCGTCCCCGGGGCTCCTCTGCCGCCTCCGCCACCGGAGCCGCCGCGCAGGGTAGGGCCGCTACCGCCAACACCACCGCCTCCGGCGAGTACTGTTGCCGCAAGCAGCGACGACGAATCGAGCAAGACTCGTGCGTTTCGCTCAGGATTCCCGACTTCTCCTGTCGAGAGGGACCTGGCCACGGTGGGTGGTGAGCGGGCCGGAGATCCAATCGTGGACTTTCAGGCGATTGCAGTTGGCGCAGCTCAGCTGGATTTGAGCACGGCAAGAAGAGGATCTTCATCACGTACGTTGATCCTCGATCGTTCCCATCAGAGGGGTCGAAGGGCCGCGCGGGAGAATAGGGCGCTGGGAACTTGGTGCGTGTGAGCTGCCAAGTTGTTCCGTTCAACGCCCAGATCAAGTTCTTGCCGGCATGGTCTTCTTGGAAGAAGAGTTCAATGGGTCGTTCCAAGGGCGCCCAGTCCCGGAAGCGTATAGAAGATCGTGTTGCCATGAGTTCTTCTGTGGATGCTGAGGAGTTCGATCGAGTAGCAATCTTTGTGCAGCCTCCGAGGATCCGCGTTGACGGAACATCGCATTTGTGGACGCCACTGCAGCTGGGCCAGCATGAGATGACTACCATGAATTCCATGACTGCTGACAGTCGTGCCAGATCTTGTTCTGGAACTTGTAACATCAGTGCGCAATATAAATTGTTGGCCGCGTGTGTTGTCGAGCTGTCCGCGCCGGGCATGTCTGCTACCGACAAGGAGATCGTCGAGGATGTGATCGGGAACACCGATCCGCTTCGCGGACGAGTGGGGGCCAGACGGGCCGCGGTGCTGCTCTGCGTCATCGACATCACGTTCGCCTGCCCAGTCTCGAGCGACGCGGTGGTGCGCCCGGATTGGGGGCCTTCGGTGGCAAACGGCATCGTCGAGCGCAATCTTGATCTCGTTGTCGCCTATGCATCATCATCGATTCATAATGTGATCAGTAATGGTTTTTCTCGTTTGGCTTAATATTATGGCCCTGTAACTGTTGCGCTCGGTTATGGGCCTGGTTGCTCAAGCCGTGAGGTTACTAGCGCGTTGAATTCGTACCTCGAGTCAGATGCGGACATCGCGAGCCAGAAATTGCATGAGTTCCTCAGAGAGTAAGGTCAGACAATTAGACTGGGACTTGCACTTGCAGCCTTCCCCGCTGAAGCCGCAGAGGAACGAGTTCGAGGCGATGTGGGCGCGATTATCGGTGATGACGACGTTGCTACAGTCTCTAAGGAACGCTTGCGAGATGAGGAACACGATATCCTGGGACAAATCCAACCTGCCTGGCGAGCCGAAACACGAAGGACAGAGAAGGACAGCGTGGTTGCAGATCCCGCTCCGCACATGGATCGCCATTAGAGGACTGCGCGGACAGTTTGGTCATGTGGCTAGTCGTGCTCTCGTGCATCTATTGAGGGTCTCCAGGAGGTCATCGGACTACGTTGACGCCGCCGAGAATTATCGATGTGAATCTTGCGAACATCGCAAACCGCTAGCTCAGACTCACAAGGTTGCCTTGCCCAATAAGTTCTGCTTCAACCATGGAAACGGTATCGACTGTCTAGAAGTGAGGGACAACGGTGGAGAACGTTACGCCTTCTTGAACATAGTGTGTCAGGTGCAACATATCAGCGTGTGATCTCTGTCAAGCAGGGCGGTGGTACGCCATCCTCGAGAACATGCCTCGCTGCGCTTCAGCAGCGCTGGTGTGCGCGGGCAGGTGGGCCCAAAAGAGTGGTGTTGGACCGTGGACTGCAAAACAGAGGGGTGTTTCTGCAGTGGTTCGGGGGTCAAGTTGTCGACCTCCGCGACGCCGGAGTCGAGTCTCCCGAGCAGGGGGGCCGCGCCGAGAGACATGGTGGACTTTGGGGGGGCGTCTTCAAGAAGGTGGTGCACGCAAAGAATGTTTCCGGACTCGATGAATTCATCTCTACTGCATCAGAACTCGACAACGCGAAGAAGGAGATCTCACGAGTCGGCGGATTTGTGCCTGCTCAGTGGGTGCTCGGAAAGATGCCTCGTGTCCAAGGGAGTCAATTCGACGACGAGGAAGCTTTCGACTTAGGAGTGCATGCGAATGTTGCAGAGGACGGAGCCGACGAGTTTCCTCGCCAGGCTGTGATGCGGGCGTCTGCCAGAAAAGCATTTGCAGAACGCGACGTCGGGGGTAGGGCGGCAAGGGCCGCTCTCCGAAAGGCAGCGCCACTCGCTGGATTTTATCAGGCAGGTGATGTATCATGCTTTCGCAAAGAGGCCGACCGACGGCGAGGTTGCCGCTGAGTGGAGCACTGGTTCTCGCATCGTTGGATTCGATGGAAAGAACGCGTGGATTTTCACAGAGGGTGTGCCTGTCTGCGTGGCTGTCGACAGGCTTCGACCGTGTACAGCGGCGGAAGCGTTGGCTTACCGATATCTCTCTAAGCACTATGACGGTGGTGTTGAGAGGTATGCACCTCCAGACGGGCAACAGCAGTCATTCGTGGACGAGCGACGTGAGCTGCCAGAACCACGGGCGCAAGTGCATTCTTCGCAAGAGCATCCTATGGCGACGGAAGAGCTGCCGGGGACCCCAGAAGACCCCGAGTTCATAGGGGAAGCATTTCGCCAAATGGAAGAAGATATCTGTCAGATAGAATGAGCGTCCTTGTGCCGCCCGCGTCGAGGTCGTCACAGGTGACTCGAACGCCCTTTCGGAGGTCTTTACTAGACGACGTCTCGCACGGTATACAGCGTCGCAGCGAAGTGATGCGCAGAGGGGTCGAGAATGCCGATGGTAGTACGGGAAGTGTTTCCGATTCTGTTTCGGGGCCAGCTCCCAAACCAGAGCGAGCCCTTTTCTTGAGGTCATGCGCAGAGCCGGAGCATCAGGGCCGGGCATGGATCTTCTAGCTCGTGGAGAAGCTTCACTCGCTGTTGAGCCACGCGGATCGTTTGTCGGATTCTTCAATCAACGCTCCGTTCACAAGCCGCAATCTAAGAAGACGCTGAAGAGTGCAAAGAACGTGGTATACCATCGGGAATCAGAAGACGTTTAGAGCAGTGGTTTGCGACTGGCAAGACAAGACGCATGGGAAACATGGCGGATGTTCAACGCCGCCGTGCCTATTGATTCCGTGGGACTGTAACATCTTTTCGACGAAGGATACCGTATGGTACCTACGCAATGGATTGATATCGGCAAGAGTGAACATCTCCGTAGACCCGGTGGGCCCCTGGTTGCACCGCAGTGCAAGAGTAGATTTGTCGTGCGTGGAGATTTGGATGAGTCATTGGGTATCCGTGCGGATTTGCCAACATGCGATGTCGAAGGGCTAGGGTTGATAGTGTCGTGGGCTGCCAGTACGAAGAAGACGCTCACGTGTGCCGACGTTGCATCTGCGTACTTCCAGGGGCAGGAAATCGAAGGTTTCGCGCTGCTCAAGCCACCGCCCGACGGACTCGAAGGTGTGCCGGATGGTGGGGCACTGATCGCGCGCATGCTTGTTTGTGGCGCGCGTGGCGCAGGACGCGGCTTGTGGGGGAAAATTCGCAGGAGGTTTGAAGCTCATGGTCTGAAGGAGAATCGTATCATGCTTGCTTTGTTCAGTATTCACAATGACAAGAACGAGATCACGTGTATGTTAGGTACACGTGTGGATGACGTACTGTGGGCTGCAGATGATGAGAGTCAGAGCATTATCGATTCGGTATTCGCAGAGCTTGATATTAGCGAGATCAAGTCGGAAAGCTTCCGTTACTGCGGTTTAGAAGTTGTTCGATGTGAGATTTTCACGGCGAGTGTCACGGCCGAGGGCAATATTGAGAGGGCCGAGGCTGCATCCAATCGTAGACCTCGGGAGAAAATGCAATGGGGGCGAGACATCGCAGCTTAGGTCGGTCGTGGGTGCTGTGTCATGGGTTTGCACGTCAGTGTAGACTTGAGTATCGCGTGAGCAGGCTGCGGACTGCCGTGTCTCACGCTGACGTACCTCATCTCAAGGAAGCTAACCTTGTACTGGAAGAAGCAACTCAGTCCGCTGACTGCGGGTTAGTATTCAAAGGTGGAACTGTTAAGTGGAATCAAGATATGACAGTTCTTGCTGTTACTAACGCCAGCTGGGCCGGAGAAGAGGGCGTAGTCAAGGGTGGAATCGAGCCTCTCAGGTCACAGAGGGCTAGGTTCAATGGACTCGCAGGGCCTGGACTCAACGATGGGGAACAGTGATCATGTTCACCCTATATGTATATCTAGTAAAATTATCAAGCGAGTATGTAAATCTACACTACACGCAGAGGCCCTGGCTTGTTTATGGGGTGTAGAATCTGGTGCGCGCATTCGTGCCGCCATCGCAGATGCGCGTGGGGTGCTTGGCGCAGGAAAGAAGCTGCCAACCAACTGGCAAGACTTATCAGTCATGTCTATGAGACAATTATGGATGGCGGATTGCAGTAGCATTGGTGAACATCTCGTAGCATCAACTATGGGCAAGGCATAAGATAAGCGCTTGAGTAGCGATTCGAATAGTTTAAGACAGGATGTTTGGACTAATGGGACGGAAGGAGCTAACATTTTACATCCACGCGTAGTTTGTGATAGGATCCGATGGGCCGATGCAAGTATTCTGGTTGTTGATTGTCTGATGGATAATATATATATATATATATATATATATATATATATATATATATATATATCCTTGTTAAGATCTTACGTACAAGTTCGTATGACGGAGATCCAGACCCTGAATCTACCTCAAATAAAGTCAAGAAACACCTGGCGAGGGCCAGAATGAATGCTATCCCATCGTGGAAGTGAGCGACTGAGTCCTGGCTGCCTTTGACTTGAGTAGTCCCAGCATGGGAATACTCCTGTTAGTGCCCCTAGAGGCTTACTGAGACCAACGGTGCTGCGCTGTCTGCTGGCTAGTTCGTGATCAAGTTTCACGGGTGTGAGATAGTGCGTGTGTCACGTGTGTATATGCACCACTCGCTGCCGTTTGACCTCTAGGGTTTTTTTTGTTTGCCATTGCGGTAAAACGCATCATAGCCACAGGTCGGTTGACCATCAGGGCTTCGCACGCAACGTGTCTTTCCAGGGTCCCTGCTTTCCGCCTCTTCCTCCCTCCCTTTCCTCTTTCCTCGCTTAGTATGTGGTGACGTTTACCCGGCTGGCCACTGCTGCGCATTTCCGCTTTAGTGACCCTTTGGGCTTGACAATGGGTTTTCTGGATATGCCCTGTCAGGGGAAGCGGATTTGCTGCTTGAGCGGTGTTTGTTGCTTGTGGCTTCGTTTGCCGGGGGAACACGAGGATTTGCTGTGGATCGCCTCCGCACGTCCGCGATCGTTGGGGGCCGCCCACATCGGCGGCCTGGCCGCTGAACCGCCGATGTTGCCTGCTGGCGGCCCTGTGGCAACCATGTTGAGAGCCCGGTCGCGGATGAGCATCGCGGCCCTGCCGCAGTTGCTCCTTGCCTCTGCGTTTGCCTCCGCCCCTGCCTCTCCGCCTCGGTCGCCGCGCCGGCGGCGGCCACGAGCCTGCCGCGCCGCGTGCCCGGCCCTGCCACCTCGCTGCCTCTCACCGCCGTGCCCTTTCACGCCGTGCTCGACCTCTGGGCTCTGCGCCGTGCCCTGCGGTCCCCACGCCGCTCGACCTGCGACCTGGCCCCTGCGCCCCTCGAAGACGAAAAAATGCCATAAACAGAAACTTTTGGCGCTCCGCGCGGATTTCTTGGATTCGCGCTGGGCCCCTTGGCGCGCGGGGGGCCGGCGCAGATCCAAGAACCCCGCGCGGAACGCCGAAGGTTCATGTTTATGCCGTTGTTCCTTCTTCTGTCCCCGTTTCCCAAGCTTCGTGCTCCCAGCCTGGCGCGCCCAACCCCTGGGAGCCCCGTGCTCAACGAGCGCCTCGGTGTCGTGCCCTGCTCGCGCCTGGTGCCTCGAGCGCGTGGCACTCCGCCTGCGGCTCGCCGCCGGGCCCCGTTTCTATCGGGCTGGGCCGGGGCCTGGATTTAAGTCGGGCCTGTCCCTGCACAGGAGGAACAGTCGATGATAGTCAAAAGCCAGGCTGGGGACGATTTTTTGACTCTTTTTGCACAGTTGGGGCGCATGTTTGGATTTTTTTTGTTTCGCTCAAAATCCCCCTGTAGGGGGACGCCCGACTGAAGCCTGGATAGATCATTCCAGAGCGTTCTGGAGCGCTCTCAGAGCGTTCTGGAACGGCCTCGGCGCCCGATGCATCCCCCAGAGCCCCCCAGGTTTCACAGGCCCTCGATTTGTCCCGGTCCTGATTTGTCCTGGTCCTGGCTTCGTCTTTATGTCGAGAGCGCCGAGCCTGTATCCGTTTCTGAGTAGCTTGAAGCCGCGCGCTGTCAAGAGTCCCTCGAGAGAGCGCTCTGTCACCTCAGCGCGGCAGCGGGACCGAGGGGTCTTGAAGACATTCACAAGGCGCCATTAGCTTCATCCGATTTAGCCAGTGGCTTGTGCACAATGGGGCTTCAATGATCAGCTCTGGGCATGGGGCGCAGCCGTGCCTGTGGCCAGATGGCAGCCTGCTCTTGGCCAACTCAGCCTTTCGTGCTCAGAGGGAGGCTGCACCGAGAAGAGAGGCTGGAACAAAAACGAACCCAACCACTTTCTGAGTGTGAAAGTAGCATGCGAAGTTATTGATGGTGACTCTGCGCGGGGTCATCTCACTCCCACGGTCAGCGGTTGCGGCCGGCCAGGCCACGGTGCGCGATTATGCGCCGGTTGAGTCGGTGCTTGCGCTGGCGCAGGAAAGACATTGTCGGTGGCGCCGGCGCCGGAGGGGATGGGATGGGCGCAGTGAGAAGGGCGAGAAGTTTGCATTCTGCATCAGTAGGCGTATCGTGAGAGTTGCGCGCATAAGCAGGTGCAGTGTGTTTCTGAGAGTTTGTGTGCCTGCGCATGTGCACTTGCCAGTGCATGCGAACTTGCAGGTGCGTCTTAACGTGCACATGCGTGTGCATTGGCATGTGCCCAAGGATACGTGTACCCAACACTTTTGAGTCACAGTTGTGCATATGTTCGCTTGCATGCAGTAACACCCTTCCCTGCACATCTGGGCTTGCTTCGAGTGGCGTGGCTTGGTATCTGAATCGGCTTGATATTTGAATTGGCATCAAGGTTTTGACTTCATGCGGCTTAGACCGCATAGTCTCTGGAATAGCGATGACAGCCTGATCACGCGCCGCAAAGTCCGCTCACACGGATCCGCCGCCGGGTTTCGATGTTCTTGGCGGATGTTTTGGAGTTGTCGAAGGTACCGTAGGCCCTTCGTCGAGACCAGGCATGGTGGCGCGCAGATGGCGTGCAGGAGGTGTCGAAGATGCCGTTGCTTTCGTCGCCCACTGCCAGGGCCCCTCGACTGAACAGAACCGTGGTCACTCTTCCATTCGCTGATTTGGATGTTCTAGGAAGCGTGTCGTTGATAGCCCTAGATACTCAGTTGTAAGAGTATATGCTCCTGGTCGTGCCCGCTTTCATGGATGTTCCAATCTCCATGTAGGCGGGTTTCCTTCTAAGGATGGTCAGGGGATCAACAGCGAGCTTGAGAAGCATATCGTCCTGTCTGCAGCCTCGTTCCTTGCTTGGCGAGAATTTTGGTAGTTGGGGCCGTTCTGCAGCTCAGCCTTTCCAGGAATGAACGGGCGAATGTTGTGGGCTCGCGTGGCGTGCTACGAATCACTGGGGAAGGGCAGGCCTTATGTGCTTTTATCCGCGATGTGGCAGCATGGCCGGGCAACGCTCAAGGGCTACCTGGGAGATTGTGGTCATTATGGAGCGGAGGAGACGCTGAGCGAAGTGTGGTCAAGTGGGCTTTGAGATCCCTTGCAAGGGTCGTTGTGCATGCAAGGTGTGATCCCTGAGACTGCGGCGAGTGCGGCTCTGCTGGTGCGGCTCCCAGTCCTCTGCTTCCTTTAGACTGCCTGCCGCTGCTTTTGCTTCTGCTGCTTACCTTCTCTCCATCCTGACTCCATTGTCGCTCCAGCTGCCTTGCTTTGCTTTGAAGTCCGACGGCAGAAGGCCCAGCGTGTGAAACTCCTCCGTCTGCTCGACAACCCTCCTCCAAGCCGTTGGCTGCGGGCCCCACTCCTCGGCACAGCCGGGTTCCGAAGCCCCAGACCAGCAGAACGAACCGACTCGTTCGGCCTCTTGTCCTCGCAACCGTGCGCCTCCTCCGCGGCCTGCCGCTGGAAGGCCACCTTGGGGAAAGTCGTATTCACCGCGAGCCCTCGTAGGTTACTCGTCCCGTCTCGCGTGCTATTGCTGCCAACTTCCACTCCAATAGAAAAGCTTTGGGGATCGCCTCGTGAATCAGCGCGTCGAAGGCGTTCCCCTCATCGAAGGAGTTCCCCTCAAAATCCCGGAAGACTCCACTCGCTGGCCTTCTCGGCCCCAGTATCACCACCAGCCCCGTCAAGGGTTCTGGCATCCCCGTCATGGGTGCCTGTCGGACAGTCAGCGTCCGGTCCAGCCTCACCAGCAGCCTGCAGCTGCTGACGTTGCAGGAGTTCCGCTCGGCATGATCGAGGAATTTGGTCGAGAGGGTGGCCTTAAACGGCGCTGGGTGTGGCCAGAGGAAAACCAGGGGGCCTGCTCGAGTCAAACGTATGTTTCCGGAGTGTCGACGGACCCAGCATGGATCCCGAGGGTACCTCGGCATGGCTGGGACGACCAGTACCACGCGATCGGCATCTTGAGCTCTCTTTCTAGCGTTGCTGGCATGCTCTAAATTCTGAATGGAGGCACAGAGGACCGAGGGAAGGGGGAGGGGGAGGAGGATGGAGAAGAGGGAAGTGGGAGGGGGTGGGGTAGAAGGAGGAAGGGTGAGGGAGGGGGACATGGATGTGGGAGGGAATGTTGAGCCCTCCCATCCATAGAAGACTTCCGAAGGGCCCCAAGCCCCGCAAAGAGCTGAAGCTACCCTACGAGAGTTTCTAATGAGTTGCCCAGAAGGATTCCAGGATGCCGGGACAAATATTTCCGCCATGACGCAGCATGTGCCAGAGGGAACCATCCAGAACGTGCCGCTCTCCTTGTCCACGCGCCCTCCTCATAGACGCAGCTTGCTCCATTACGACCGCCCCATCCTTGAACTTATTATGGTTTCGCATCTCCCTATTAGCCCATTCAGAAAGGATCCCATGCGAGTTGCATTGATCAGGCAAGGGTAGGAGCACAGAGTGGAAGAGGGAGAATGCAGCCAACAAACTGAAGTTCGGGACGAGCCTGATTAGACCCAGGAGTCAACTATCAAGGCCTTCGCGGTTCGTTCGATGTGGGAGCCTCGTAGGATTTCTGGAAGCAATGTTTCAACACTCTTGGGACAATTTTGGGATCCTCTCGCGTTGTCTTGCGGCTCTGATGGGATCCTTGAGATCCCTCTAGGGGGGCCATTTCGGGTACATCCATCAAACATGGGCTTGGAGGAGGAGGAGGAGGAGGAGGAGGAGGAGGAGGAGGAGGAGGCGGAGGCGGAGGCGGAGGCGGAGGCGGAGGCGGAGGAGGCGGCGAGGCGGGGACGGAGGCGGAGGCGGAGGCGGAGGCGGAGGCGGAGGCGGAGGAGGCGGAGGCGGAGCGGAGGCGGAGGCGGAGGCGGAGGCGGAGGCGGAGGCGGAGGCGGAGGCGGAGGCGGGGGCGGCGGAGGCGGAGGCGGAGGCGGAGGCGGAGGCGGAGGCGGAGGCGGAGGCGGAGCGGAGGCGGGCGGAGGCGGAGGCGAAGGCGGAGGCGGAGGCGGAGGAGAGGAGGAGGAGGAGGAGGAGGAGGAGGGAGGCGGAGGGAGGACGGAGGCGGAGGAGGAGGAGGAGGAGGAGGAAGAGGAGGAGGAGGAGGAGGAGGAGGAGGAGGAGGAAGATGAGGAGACGGAGGAGGAAGATGAGGAGGAGGATGAGGAGGAGGAGGAGGAGGGGGGGATGATGATGATGATGATGCTGATGATGCTGATGATGATGATTTTGATGCTGATGCTGCTGATGATGATGATGATGATGATGATGATGATGATGACGATGATGAGGATGATGATGTTGATGATGAGGATGAGTTGAGGATGATGATGAGGATGCTTATGCTGATGCTGCTGATGATGATGATGATGCTGTTGCTGCTGGTGATGATGATGATGATGATGATGATGATGATGATATTATGCTGATGATGGTGTTGATGCTGATGTTGATGATGATGCTGATGCTGATGCTGATGCTGACGATGATGATGATGATGATGATGCTGCTGATGATGCTGATGATGATGCTCATGCTGATGATGATGAAGGTGATGATGATGATGATGATGATGATGATGATGATGATGATGATGATGATGATGATGATGATGATGCTGATATGATGAGGATGATGATGATGATGATGATGATGATGATGATGATGATGATGATGATGATGATGATGATGATGATGATGATGATGATGATGATGATGATGATGATGATGATGATGATGATGATGAGGGATGAGATGGAGGAGGAGGAGGAGGAGGAGGAGGAGGAGGGAGGAGGAGGAGGGAGGAGGAGGAGGAGGAGGAGGAGGAGGAGGAGGAGGAGGAGGAGGAGGAGGAGGAGGAGGAGGAGGAGGAGGAGGAGGAGGAGGAGGAGGAGGAGGAGGAGGAGGAGGAAGAGGAGGAGGAGGAGCAGGAGGCAAGGAGTGCACGAGAGAGGAGAAACGCAAACACGCCGCGCAGCACCCGATGCTCAGACCACGCACGGCCGCGCGCCTGCCTCCCTGCCCTGCTTGCCTGGCATGGGCAACCCCAGGCCTGGCGCAACGGCTTACATGAACAAGCTTGCCCGCAACAAAGCGTACAACGCGAAGAAGCGAGTGGCGGGGAAGGCCGCCAAGGAGGAGGAGCTGACCGCTTCTCACGGGAGCAAGATTGCCCGCCTCGGGCGTCAGGTGGGCTCCGTGGGAACGCGTCAAGGTGTGTCATGTGCACAGTGTGCGCTGCGTGTGCCGTGTGTCCAACGCGCGCCAGGTGAGTCAGGTGCGCCAGGTATCGTTGGTTGTGCCGCCTCTCCACAGGTGGACCAGATCCGCGACCGCAGGGCGGATATCTGGCTCCAGCTGCAAGCGGAAGAGGATTTCGGATAGAGACCTGATCCAGAAATAACAACGCCCTGCCACGCAGGGCGCGTGGCGACCGCGGGAAACATATAGAGAAGAAGAAACTGGCGAACGAGAGGCGGCTCCGCAGCAAGGCGGAGAGGGGGCGCGACGACGCCCGCCGCCAGGTGCAGTCTTGGCAGATCTGGTGGGGCGCCTTCCTGCTCGTCTGCCAGCAGAGGCTGTTCTTTTTGGGGGGAAGGCGGCGGTGGTGCTGGCGATAGAACATGTGCCAGGAGCTCCCGAGGGCGGTCGTCAAGCGGGTGGAGGAGTTTGCGAGCGCGGGCGTGAGAGGGCTGCGCTACCTTTGGCGCAGCTTCCAGGGAGGGGACTAGCCGCAGAGACAGCGGCGCGCGGCAGGCGCAACAAAAAAACGCGCAGGGCGGGGCCGCTGGCTGGAAAAGAGGAGGGGGATGGGGAGGGGGAGGAAGAAGAAACGAGGGGTGTGGAGAACGATGCTGCTTACCGCGCCGACGCCGGCGAACAGCAGTTGCCACTGCGCCGTTGCCGAGGCGACGAGTGCACTGCCAACGCCGCGCCAGGGGGGCACCCGCAAACGCGGATGCCCGCCTGCTTTGAAAATGAATGGGGGAACAAGCGAGAGGGAAGTAGCGGATGACGATGCCGATCTCATTTTGGTGTTCTGCCGCTGCCGATGCCTCTATGCCGCAGGTCGTGTGTGCTCAGGACGTGTTGGCTCGTCTACCGATCCACGCCGCCGCCTGCACCCCTATGCCCTTCCTGCTAGCCATGGCGAGTGCCCCCGCCGCAGGCGTGCCCGCGCTTGGCGAGTCGCCTACGACGCGGTGGGCAATGCCGAGCTCACCTTTGAGGGGGCGTCTCTCATGGTGAGCGGCAACAAGCTTGAATGCCACCCGGGTAAGGCTGTGAAGAGGGGCGTGCTGTCCATCAAGGGCGACGATTCTCGACCTTCCCCAAGTGCCACTTTCGCGTGGTTGCATCGCGAAGATCGTTGCGTTTGCGGACGTGACCATGTATTGCGAGGGCGCCTTCGATTTTGCGCACGTGCACGAGTTGCGATGTCAGGGCCGCTTCGCAGATTTACAGCCGCCCCTTTCTTTCAAGCGCGAGCCAGTCGCCCCCTGCACTATGCAGTTGTTCATCGTGCGCCATGCTCCCGATAACGACAGTTGCGCGCAGTTCCGCATCTTGAAGGTCATCAGCTTCGAGATGAACAGGGTGGGCGCCGCGGCCATTTTGGCCATTGCGAGCGGCGGGGCGCGCGAGATCGACCGCGGGAAGAACTTCAGACATGGCGCCGCAGCTTTCCAACTCATGCTGTAGGAACTTGATGGGGCTTCAAGGCATATTCTCTATGTCGAAGCCCTTGCACGAGAAGAAGCAGCCTGTGGAGCAGGACGAGCGCGGCGAAGGATTCAACAAGTTCATCCGCGAGCATGGCCCGCGCCCTAACAGCAGAAACCAATTCGTGAGGTGGCCGGGCGCTTGGGCGAACGCAGAGGGGTCGAATCTTCGCGGCTTGCCCGCCGCAAGGGTAGAGGCGGCGTTGAGGAATCGCCGGGGGGGGAGGGCCAACGCGGAGCCGATCACGCGTTGGGCCCTGGCCCTGAAGGACTTTGCTGGGTTTGCTTGAACGACGTCCTCAAGCGCATGCTCGGCAGTCTCGACGAGCGCGGAATCCTT